TATAATATAAAATGACATATACTGTGATATAGGATTGTATCCATATTGCTCACCTCTATTGTATTTTATTAACATGGGCACTACAATGCCCATTACTGACCCTCGAGAGCATCCGTCAGCTACATCCATTGTGTAACAGTCACACTAAAACAGTGGAAAAGTACAACTACTTCTGCTATGCAGCAAGGTCAAATCAACAACAATACATAGTGTTAAAGTATTATTACATCGTCCAAGCATCAAAAACCAATCAGATGGATGATGGCTTGCTGTGTAGGGGTGAGTATTTGTCAGCTATCCTCTAACAGTCTTTGGATAGATAACATACTAGATGTTATTAATGACAACCTCATGTCTCATACTAACAAGAAATAGATCCACCAACTAACAGATGCATCATGAGTTGTAACAATTAAGTTTCTGTTATGACTGAATGTTAAGGATCACAGTTTGAACCTACTGTATATCATTGTAGTTCTCATGAGTTAGGATAGGGAAGGACTTCCTTTTGCACACTTTTCTTCAACATGTTCTCCCTTTTTGACACAGCTGCATGTTTTTTTTTCTCCTGTGAATGACTTTCACTACCCACTGCCTTGGCCCACCTTTTGATTTAATCCTTCACTGCATCAACTGTGATCTCATGAGAAAATCCCACCAGTTTTTGTAGCATATAACAGGGCCCCAGGAAATGGTTTTTATTCTCTCTGTTCGCCTTTGATATCTGTTCAATATCAAATGTAGACTTTGATACATCACATAGGCAGTGTGAAGATGTGGAAGACTAGACTCCAGTATTGTGTATGAACATTGTTTTTTTAACAAAATTCAAGCCCAGTGCCCCTGATTGTTACTCCACATGGATGGTATTAAAGTTTTTTGAGCCATGATAAAAGTTCAATTTTTCACTGACATAAAGAGTAATCCTGATTTTGTTTGGTGCCTGACACACATCATCCACTCTGACATGGCTTTCATAATCACTGTCACTGCACGCCTTGCAGCATTGCTCATGGTGTGTGTGTGTGTGCGCGTGTGCGTGCACGTGCGTGTGTGCTTCACCTATGTGTATGCTGTGGGATTGCCCTGCCTCTCCACAGTCCCTGTGCTTTCAGTTTTTCCCATCCAATCAATCTCTTAGTTGCATTCAAGTGATTGGCTAATTAACTAATGATGTGAAATAATTAACACTGCTGTGTAACATTAGTTGGCAGCTGTTAAGCCATGTCAGTACAACACAACTAATAAGAACAATACACAACCTGAGAGCTCCTGTTCTCACAGAAGACAGCTGATTAACAGATTGTTGCATGTGATAAAACAGTAAGAGTTGAGAGCCGTTGTGTGTTGGCAGAGAAAATTTGTATTCTCATTTTGATTTGTTTTATTTTTATCATCTTTTTCGAGTTTTTGGTGATTCCTATTTATGTATGTGTGTGTGTGTGTGTGTGTGTCACAATTTTTGTTTTTGTCATGTGGCTTTGGTGCCGCCCCTTGGTTTGTTCATGGCTTTGCTCCATAGATCCCCGTATCACAGTCCTCTGTCATGGATGACATAGAGGAGTGGCTCTGTACTGACGTGGTGAGACTACTTTACCCTCATTTATATCTTCTTCTGTTCTCTGTATTTCACTTCGACCCTTGGTTTTGTTTTATTTTCTTAGATAACACCTTTCATCCATCCCTCGGTTATAACTTGATACATAGTACTTTAGTTTCTTTTAATTTCACATCCTTTCAGTCACTATAATCTAATTTATTTCCACCAATGACAGACATAAAACAGTTTACTGTGTGGCCTGCTAATAATAGTCGAGTTACAACAGCTGATCCTACTTAACGTATGCATGTGGATGGTGTAGATTTGGGCTAAGGAAGGCTCTTTGTTTTGTTCACCTGTAAAAAGTGTGTGAAGAATGCACGATTCACAGATCCTTCATGAGCATCTTTGTATGAATTTGCCTTAGCTTGTGTGAACTTTGGCATTTAAACTTGTATAACACTTTGGTTTATCAGCTTATTGTTTTCCTGACTGTACACTAAAACATTTTAAAAACAGTTTTTGCCAAAATATGTATATTATCTTGTGATGTTTTTTTTCTTCTCCTTAATAGAAAGGGGATGCCGCCGAGGAAGGGGTGACCAGTGAAGGTACAGATTCTGATTCTGACCACGGTTAATAAACAGTTGCATGTTCCATAAGTTCAAAACATGTAGGGATTTATTAGTATTCTCTCCTCTGTTAATTGATTTATATAACATTAATAAACCTCAATTGCGACTTTGAGACAAAGACTAATTGTTCCTTTCAGAGTTTGATAAGTTCCTGGAGGAGCGAGCAAAGGCAGCAGACACCCTGCCATCTCCCCAAGGAGCTAACCCCGCTCACCCAGCTCGTGCCCCTGGTGGCTCCCACAAGAAGGCTGAACGAACAGAAGATGCCCTCTTTGCCTTGTAGACTGTTCTCAGAGAACCTCGGTGTCTCTGCAGGGCATCTAAAGGTCCTGGCTCTAAATGAGTTCCCCAGACAGCTGTTCCAGTCCCACTACATCGCTGACTGGCAGTGGGGTAGTAAGTGATCTCCAGCTCCTTGTCATTCTCTTGCCACAGTGTTGCTCTAACATACAGAGGTCTAACATGTTTACTGCAGACTACTGTGTTGCATTTTACTATATGTGGATGTATTAATGTGTTAGTGTGGGATGTACTATTCAAAGCCCTGCATCTCATTTGTAGCACTCCACCAAAGGAAGACAACCTAACTTGTCTGATTTAGTTTCAAAATGTGGTATATTACTGCAAGATGAACGACAAATTTCACTGCAGGTCCATGCAGTGAGTCAGTATGAACGCATACAGTTAGTATTATATTGTGTTGTTTTACTTCATTCATTTAGTTGCTAATTTATGCTTTTGCTGTTTTAATGAGTTGTTCTGTTGTATGTACTAGCGCTGTGGTTAGGGTCAATTCATGCTTCTTTTTTTTTTTCCAGTAAATACACCAGTTGGAATTCTAGTCATGCTTTTAATACTGAGATATGTTTGGAATGACAACACGTATTATTATTATTACCCAGTTTTCCTGAAGCAGTGCAGACAAAATAGTGTGTTAGCAGGCTGATTTTGACAATGAATATATGAATGAATGACAATGAATATTAAAAAAAATCTAAAAAGCAGTAGTTAAGATGCTCTATTAAGTGTTTGACGTGGTTAAAAGGAAGGAGCGTGCCTATGGAATGTCTCATTGATCTTTTCAGTCTTCTGAAAACCTATAACTAATTAGCTGAGAAAAATTGTTCTCTTTAGCAACTGCAAACACATTTAGCCATTCCAAAGACTGTTGAGGCTTTAATGACATACTAGCACTTAATGTTACCTGTTAGACAAGGAACATTCTCCTTCCTCTGCTATAATTAAAGTCTGCGCACTTTGAAGCAAAAACAAATCTATATTTTGTTCTTTGTGTTTACAAGATGGTCACTATTTTTCTAGGGAACGGGATGGGTCGTTAGATTAAGTTAATTCTGCACAACTTTTTTTTTAACTGTATAACTGCAGCGCTTGTTAAAGTGAATGATTGAACTGTTTAAAAAAAACTGTTCAACTGAAAAACATTTTTAAAATATCATATATTACATAAAAATTCAAGGAAGATGGAACATATAATGACCGACCCAATGTAGTGCTGGCATTCTAATTGACTAAAACATAAAATGTATAGCCTACAATACTACGTTGTTCTAAAGGATGGATTCATGTAGGGAGATCTTCAGTTACTCTAAATTGTGTAATTTATATACCTCAGAATACTGACATTTTGGTTTCTAGTTAAAAATGTATTGGCTCATATTAATGTCCAGAAGGCAGAGAGGTTTACTGTATGTATTATTTGATCCATGATTGTATTTTTATAATTCATGTAAGAAAAAACCATGTTTGTTCTCTTCCTTGTCGATCTTTTTTGTGGTTTAAGCTGAAGTATGCAACAAACAAGCGCAGTTGTACTTATTTGTGCAGTCAAAGACATTTTCATTCATGGTGTGTGTTTTCATTCAGGTATGATTCACCTGCTCTTGTTGGAGCTGCAACCAAGCATTTTTCTGATGGATATGATTTCAGCAAAGTAGCTCTAAATGGAGTTTTTCCTTTGGTGTACTTAAGATCACACTATGAGGCAAAACGCCATCCTGGCTTCATTCCAAAACTGTGGTTTATTTTAACATTGCTCTGCACTTTTAAGCTATTTAGGGCCAAAAGCCTTGTAATTCAGAGGCTGTCTATTTGAAATCCCTCCTAAGTTGCAAAAGCCTAATCATTTATCAAACTTAGTTATTGATGTATATTATCAATATAGAAAGAAACATTCATTATTTGTAACCCTTGTTAACATACTGTAGATGCAATGGTGACATTGGAAAAACTATTTGTATCATTATGATCACATATTTAAATGTATTTACTGAGGAGTATTAATGAGCTTTAATGTTTTTATGCATATGGTTATTTTAGATTTAATATGGTTGTCAGGTAACTTAAATAATATTTAATTTACAGTCAACTATTGTGTCAGTTTGGAAATAATTTACCATACAGGCTGAGCAAAGATGATTACTAAAACTTTAAGAGGAAAACCTTTAAAAGGGAACTTCAGCAGTTTTTTTGTGATTGTGTGTTATGTAGCTCTGGCTCTGTAACAAGTCCTGATTACAGTGGTTACTGAATGTCTTTTAATACTTTTGAGACTGAACATGTTGTAGACACAGAAGAGTGGCTTGTTTCCTGTTGGTGGGTGTCCCATATCTGTTTGGCTGTGCTGTCTGCTGCCGTTATAAATGGTCAGATTTTTGATTGACCCAATGCACGCATGTAACTGCCAATTAAAACACTAGCAATGTGACCTCTACCTCACAACTGTCTGTGGTTATTTTACAGCAATTCATTGTAATGTGAGTTTTTCCACTCCCTCCGATATGTTGTTCATGGACGCTTCATCCATTCTGCTCCAACAGCTTAGCACATGGAAATGTACAATGTAAACAAATCCTCCAGGCAGACATAGGACACACAGTGCTTGTTGATTCCCTCTCTGCCTGTGAGGCAACACTGGCAAGTTTCCAAAACAGAGCAAACATGTGAACAAGACATGCACCTTTATACAGACACACCTGATGATCAACCATACCATGCTGACCAGCTTTAGTAATGACAACTTTGCAGTGCTATTCCAGGTCGCCGACCTATTTCCCCACTATGCCTTTGTGGGACTCCCCTTTGTGTTGGTGTGACAGTGTGCTCACATTATAGTTTCACTTGAGCTGATGCTGATCTGAAAAAAGTTGCATTTGCCCTGTTTGCATGATTAGTCATTTAAGTGTGTTGTTTACTAAAAGAAGCCTTAATTTTACAAGCTAAAACAAAGCCATAACTGCGCTGGGGAAATGGGTCTAATCCCCCCCTTGTCCAAAAATGACAACTTGCCTTTTTTAAAGCATTTTCGTCAATATATGCCTCCAACATATTCCTCTGAAGCTTCCATTACATTTACAGCAGAGAAACACATGATGTAATCGCTAGACACAGTTGTGATGTCAGATCACCCCACTCGGTTTCTGGCCTTCCCATTGGACGATTTCTCTGGTTCTACAGGAGGAGCCGCAGCTTTGAGTCAAGCAAACTTGGCTTTCTATAGCACACACCCGATCCGCTCTCATTGGCTGTTGGGGGCAAGCCCACAATAAACACGTCCATGCTGTCTCCTTTAAAATACAGTATGGTGAAACATGCTTGATATTAATATGGCTGTACCGGACTAGAATAAACAGCACGCAAATGTAATATATGATATAATACATTTGTTTTTAGTAGATAACTGATCATTTTCAAATTGATCCATATAAGCATTATGGAGCAATTATATCGGTTTGTTTAGTACATAAATGATCATGTTCTACTGTGCATTGTTGCATTATTATTATGTCGTATTATATGGCATATGCTTCCCATGCTGTCACCCTTTCAGTCAAACGATCATAACAACCCAGCGAAATGGGGACGTGGGAATGCATTCAAAGTCGGTGGTTGGCTGGTGCGCCTGCCAATCATCATTGACTGGGTGGGCTCGTGGCTACCACTGTAAGCACGTTAGTGCTGAATGAGCGCCAGTGTTTGGCTTGGTTTGACAAGTTTCACAGGACGACCATGGGGGTAGGAGCGAGTAGTTAGTTGACACATCAAGAGACAGTTACAGATCACCTTACGCATGTTTTAGGTACACTTGTGATCTGGCGTGTTTGCAAATGTAGGGACGTGAGAAGTTTTGGATTTTTTGCTTCTGAGCGATTCGGCAGCCAATAAAGTCTACAGTGGAAAGCCAGACACTAGAGTAAAGATGGACAGTCTGTCTTTTGACGACCATTCGTTGGATAACCTGGATCCAACGCTATCGCTTAATGACCCCAGCGATATTGACACGGCCCTCTTAAGCGACATCGATGGTAAGACAATTTAACGGTAAAGGTTAGCTGACCTAACAAGCTACAACAATCACAGTCCTTTAATTTTGCTTACCTCTTAAATGCCTTGTGTATTTCATTGAACTTTAACACATTGACTTGTTTCCTGTGTTCTTATTACACCTAGCTAATGTTTAGTATACAAACTTAATTCATACTAACTTATAGTACTGGTTTAAAGGTTAACGTTCACTAGCTCATATTAGCATACTTTGCACCAGTTAACATTGCCTACTTAGCTAAGCTGGCTAGGTGACATTAACCATTTAGTTAGCTAGTATTGTTTGGAGGTTGGCTGAGCGGATATATGAGTTTATTAGACGTTTAAAGTGCTGTTTCTTGCACTACTAGACCTCGATATCCTAATCTTACAAATTAATAAGATTAACTGATCATATAGGCGAAGCTAACGTGCTGCCAAGTGGTCGTGAGTACGCCCCGCCCCCAGCTTGCTCCTCAGACAGGGGTTACTGTCGTTCATTCCTCCCTCCTGGGTTCAGTTGACCGAGCAGTCAAAGTGTGGAACTTATAGCCTTTTTGTCAGAATTATAGATTCAAATATAACATCATTATAACCACGTTCTCTATTGACACCTTCCGTCATTTTCCTATTTTTGTCACAAGGTGCTTAATATCCGCGTTATATACGTTATGTTACTTTTTTTCTGGAAATGTTCCTGTAATGACCAATATGTAGTTTATTATTATTGTTATCCAATGTATATTTATGATCAAGCGACACTGCGTAAACAGTAGTCACTATCGCGTATCCCGCAGCCATGCTCGCCATCTTCCAAAATATGACCGACAGTAACCCTCGGTGATGCTGCTCGCTGGTAACCTTGTGGAGCCACAGACAGAGCTCTCTCTCTCTCTCTCTTCCCTGTCTTGGGCTGGTCGGTACAGCAAGCCGCGCTCTGATTGGTCAAGAGCGATCACCTCATACAAAACACTGATATATATATTCGGGCTGCTGCGTTTCAGTTCAAACACAACAAGTACAGTTTCTCTTCTGTATATTCCCTGTTAGTGTCATGAGATCAAGATTAGCATAAAATAATTTGTTGCTTTCTGCGTATTTCAAGAGGATAATGTTACAGTGTCCTGGAAGAACTAAGGAGCACTCTGCTGCCGTACTTACTATGATCATTATATTTCTCAAAAACAGATTCAAAGTTCTTGGATCAATAAGTCATAAGCGAAACGTTGCTAGAACACATAAGATGCCTTTTACAACAGCAGTAAAGTAGACAACAAGCTACAGCCAAATTTTTTATCAGAATAAGCCATGCTCCACGATGGAGACAGTCTCTCTGTACTCATCTCGCAGCCGGCTGCACACACAGACCAGTTTGTCCAGCATGGACGATGGCTTGGTTTGATGAAGCTTAAGTTGTAACTTGTTGTCTACCTTACTATGTTTGGATGGAGACGTCATTTGTGTTTGAATATGTGAATATTTTTCTAACTTTGCCGTAGAGCAGAGGTTACAGTCATTGAGAATCACTGAAATCCACATACAATAATTAGTTTACGCACAGGCACACAAAACATCATATAAAGCAGCTTTTGAGCCATGACAAACAATGTATAGCCTGCACGTGTCTCGATAAGCATCTTGCAGGCATTTCTGCGAGCAGGTAAAGTCGGTCCATGCGCTGCTGTCATGAGTTAGGCCTTTATCCACTAGGTGTGTGATGTTGTAGCTCTTTGATACTTCTTTAGGCAGTAAGGTGAAAATATCTTTCAATTTATGGATGACGTTAAGAAATATTTTGACCCACCATCCCCCCCACCCCTATCGCTCAACCTGTTATTTAACCTTCTGGCTTTTGCTAACTGGTACCAGAAGTTTGATGTCACAAGATGGAAAACTTCAAAGTACCGACAGAACATGAAACCCAGCAAAAGATTAAAAGCAAACTGAAGTATAACTAAAAACTAGAAAATTGCATTTTCTGAAGAAAATGCGTATGGATGCTGACTGCTAAAAGATCGCCCTGAAAATCCTGAACATTTTGACATCTGAATGGTTTTGCTAGCTGAAAGTATGCTGAAGAAGTAGAAGTTTCCCATTCATTTGAATGGGGCAAGATTTTCAAAATAAAGCTAAATATTTCAAAAGTATGAAGTTTAGAAAACGTCTGAATAGAAGCATGAATGTCCTTGAAAAGCTGATCATTTTGATAGCTGAAATAGCTGAAAGTATGCTGAAGTAGAATTTTCCCATTCATTTGAATGGGGCAGAATTTTCAAAGTAAAGCTAAATATTTCAAAAGTATGAAGTTTTGAAAAGTTCTGAATAGAAGCATTAATGTCCTTGCAGAGCTGAACATTTTGATACCTGAAATAGCTGAAAGTATGAAGAAGTAAAATTTTCCCATTCATTTGAATGGGGCAAAATTTTCAGAATAAAGCTGAATAATCCAAAAAGTATAAAAGTTACAAAAAAAGTTGTATATAACTTTTCATTTCCTGTAAAAGCTGAACGTTTTGATACCTGAATGGTTTTTCTAGCCGAAAGTGTGCGGAACTAGTTAAGGGCCAAAAACGTACGGAAGAATAATAATAATAAAGATTTGGAAAACAAGGTATGGATGCTGAGTCAGCATCCATACAATTAGATAATATAATGAGGTCTTTAAACTTGACTCTTGTATGAAAATGAACAGAGCAAGAAACGGGGGTTTCCTTCTGGCTAATTATTGTACATGGATTTAAGTATCTGATCAGTGATTCTCAAGGACTGGCTAGAGTGCACTTCCTAGGCGCAACGCTGGCCATCGTGGAAAGCTGAAATGGGAGGAGTTGATGAGAGAGCGAGGCTGCTGAACTGAATGAGGTTACTGCTCAAAGTGAGCGTGTGCACTGCGCTCACTCTGAGCTGTGCAGGGCTCACGTTATGAGAAAATACAGTATCCTATGTTGTCATAAGGGGACAATGCAGTATGTCCTAATAATGATAACATGAACATATCATAAAAACAAGAAACATGTCTTAGCCAAGCGTTTAGGCAAGTAAAACGTTGGCTGTCAAAAGCAAAGCCTTTATTTTTAGCCGTTTTAAGCTCCCACAGACAGTGTTTTAACATGAATCAGAAGCTAATTGGTCTGGCTGGGGAAAACAGAGTAAAAACATTATCATTATACTCTGTTTTACCAATACAAATAAAAAAAATGAATTTTGAATTGTTTTTAGTTCATAACTTTTGCAGTTTCATGGGCAAAATGTTGTACCTTTTCCCCACGCTTCAGTAAACATTTTGTTAGAATTAAGTACTCCCTTTTTGCCTGAAGTTCTTTTTTCACCCAGTAAAATTCACATTACTGTATTTAAAGACTATTGTTTAGTGCTATCTCTGATTTGGTTTATCACTAACACTGTACATGCGGGTTTGTGTATTTGTAACTAACAGCACAGATGGAATGCTGATCCATTTGCCCCTGAGAAGTCATATTTGATAATCAATAAGCTAAAGTGACAACCACATTTCTCACCAAACACCCAGTTCTTAACAATTTTGAACCAGTTCTAGTTGAGAACTGCATTTAATATTTTTGATATCATAGAGGCTTTTTAGATTTCTGGTGTTTGTGCACCAGAGTCTCGACAGATTCTAATATCTATGGACTTGACGGCGATTCTGATTTCTCTTCTTCTGCAGACATGCTGCAGCTCATCAACAACCAGGACATGGAGTTTGGAGGACTCTTTGATAACACTTTGTACACTGGGCCTCCCCTGACCCAACAGCTTCCTGGTTTGACCCAGTCCATCACCTTACCTGCTTCTCCACCCACTACGTCCACACCTTCATCTTCTTCTCCCTCCTCCAACCTAAGCAGCAGCCCCCACCTGGATGCTCTCCTGGGCCCTCCCATCACCCGTAGCTCCTCCACCCCAGACAAGACCTTCCAGCCTCCCACCTTCCAGCAATCCCCACTGGCCCAAGTACCCAACTCCACCGCGAGGCAGCAGCCAGCCTCCCCGCAGCAGGCTCAGAGCCTCAGACAGCCACAGGTGGAACAGCCCCAACCCATCCTCAGCCCGTCTGCTCCAGTCCAGGCAGCTTCACCTCTTGGGTCACCAGGACCAAGCCCTGTATTCAGCTCCACACCCCAGGCTCTCTTCACTTCCACTGCACCCCAGACTTCACCTCAGCCCCAGCCACAGACTCAGGCTCAGCCTCAACAAGCCCGAACCAGTTACAGCAGCCAGAACAGCTTCACAGGTAAGCAGTCTCTGATGGTGTGAGGGTTTACTTTAGTATCTATGTAGTATGGGCTGCCTTTTTGTGAGTTAGAAGTATCAGCTATCTATAGGTCCTAAAAATGTGCTGCAGCTGAAAGTACCTTTTTGCCCATCTGGTAGTACTTTGGGATAAAGAAAAACCAAAAGCTAATGAAAGTTATTAAGTAACAATTAATGTAACAGATGAACAGACAATGGATCTTCATAACCATTGTGCTACATTTCCATCATTGATGCGTGATTAATAGTTTTACCTGTGAAGATATCTCAGTCTGTTGGTGTTGTTGGAATGACAGAGAAGCCCTCACTTCACTGATAATTCAGTGGTATACAGAGTGATGCATCTTTACCTCATAGACCAGCGGTCCCCAACCTTTTTTGTACCAGGGACCGGTTTCATGCATGAAAATTTTTCTGCGGGCTGGGTAGAGGCGCGGGGGTTCCAATAACAAAAACCTTTGTCAGTTCATAGTATGTAATCTGAATGCAACAATTACACTTTATATTAGGCAGTTACAATAATTCAACACTATAATATCAACTCACCATAATGCAGAGTCAGTGGGAGCCCTGGGTTTATTTCCCTGCAACTAGAAAAAAATTCCAAGGGCTTGTCTTTTAACGCAGGGTGTTTTGTCTCAATGTGGCGAAGCATTTTTGAGGGTTTCATGACAGTCTTCGGCTAACAACTGTGTTGTCTGTTTGTCTGCCAGTTGCAGTGAGGTCACAAACCCAATAGCAGCTACTTTGATTTTGTCCTGTCATCAATTTAAGACACGGAGTTGAGGTTAGTTAGCAACAGCTGGTATAACCCCGCTGGTTATCATTTTAACCAGAAAGAGCAACGATCAGTAGAAGCTGCCATGTGAAAGGGGGCGGGGTCTCAAATATTCAAATACTAAAATTGAAAACGGATTACCAAACTAACCAACAAATATCTGAATAGTCAGATATTCCTGAGACAGAGAGGCACCTGATTGTTACTTTTTTTGTTGGGAGAAATGAACATTGCTTCAGAATTTTCTTAGATGCAATAAAGTTTTATTACTCCTTTAGAAATTCCCTAACCCTGGTACGGATAGGTGATTGCAACGGGTAGACTAGTTGGAGCTCATATAAAATATGTGGTGACTCATTGAGTGCTGCTTTCCTTAATCCTGATGATGTGGCTTATTGGCCTACAAACCCCACAGACAATGGCTCATACAGTGTCAAGTAGTAAAATAGGCCCCAGCCAGCCCCAGAAGGGAACGGAGATTTTTTTTTTTTCGGCTTTAAAGAGGTATCATTCTAGCCTGCTGCAATAATTAGGTGATAAAAAGAAATTTGGCATTTACTTCATGCAGTGTAGAACTTCCTGTTTCAACTTTTTGTTGAATATCAGAAATGTTTCTGTGCATTTACAGAACCATGCAGTGAGATGGACTGTTGTTGTTGATATTGAATCTATGCTTTAATTATGGCTGGAAAAAAACTCGAGTTGCCTAACTGTTTTCCAGCTGGCAGCCCCAGCACTGTGAGTCAGCCAGCTACCAGCTTGTCACCCGCACCTCCAAGTGTGCAGCCAGTGACCATTCAGTCGCCGCTCCAAGGACTGGCCACCACCTCTGCTCTGCTGGTCACAACCGCAAGCCCACCCACTCAAACTCTTGCACCCCATATACAGCAAGTACCTGTAAGTGAGTGAGACTGACTGCTGAATGCATACAAAATAAATGCTGTGCTTGTGTTTGTGATGTGGAAACAAGCACATATGTTTTACATGTGTACTTATGTGTTTTCTCAGGTTTTGCTGCAGCCTCAGTTCATCACTTTGAAGCATGACCCCTGCATGGTCACTACTGTGTCTTCTCCCACATCTCTGACCACCACCACCCCAGTACAGAGCACTTCACTGCAGGTAGGCAACCTTGTGTCCAACCTAAAGCCGGTATTAAGATCATATAGTGCCACTGAGTTTACACTTTCACGTATATCCCTAGCAAACAACTGCAGCTGCTATTTTTTATTTTACATCAATGTCATTTTAAGTAGTCAGTAGTTTGGATACTGTCAAGATCTCAACTATAGCAATGATATAGTTTTGTTGACTGTAAATTGAACTTGTAAGAGAAGTACCATGAGAATGCTTGTTGTTGTTGAATACTTGTTCTGTTAAATAATGTATCCTGAATGTTGCACCATGCTAAGAATGTGAATAATGAACAGTCATGGGAATAAATAGGATTTTGGTCAGCTAAGTGTCTCCCTCATTTTTCTTCTGACTGTATTTCTTCCTTTTCCTGTGCCACCCTGTTTACCTCCACAGGCATTTATGGGCGGAGGCACCATTCTGACCACAGTCCCTGTCATGGTGGACGCTGAGAAGCTGCCAATCAACCGCATTGCCATCAGCGGTAAGCCAGTCGGCCTGCCTCATAAGGGGGAGAAGCGCACAGCTCACAACGCCATCGAGAAGCGTTACCGCTCCTCCATCAATGACAAAATCTTGGAGCTCAAAGACCTGGTGGCTGGGACTGAGGCCAAGGTAGGAAATGGAGATTGTTTTAAACAAAGGCATATTTTCATGGTCTGATTTATATTGCTACATGCCCTCTGCCGCTTTACCTAATGTAATATTATCTGATTTGTTATGGCGTCTACTTGCACTTAACAATTCCCTTTTTTCCCTTAGCTGAACAAGTCTGCAGTGCTGAGAAAGGCCATCGACTACATCCGTTACCTGCACCAGGCTAACCAGAAACTTAAACAGGAGAACATGGCTCTGAAGTTGGCAGTCCAGAAAAACAGTATGTGCTTTAATCCTTTTTCTCTTCATTGTTCCCTAACAGTTTCTTTGCAGTCTATTTCTGTCCCTTGAAATTGTCATTTTTGTGATGAGATCTATTAATAGCTACTCATATACTGAAATGACTAAACTGAAAGTGTTCTTCTGTAACTTTGAAGTAAGTGAAATTTGAGGTTGCAGATGTTTTGCACTGCTGATTGACTCACTAACTGACACCTTTCTTTTCTTCTGTCTGCAGAGAGTCTCAAGGACCTGGTTGCCATGGAGGTGGACGGACAGGCTGATATGAAGAGCGAGCTGCCCACCCCGCCAGCCTCTGATGTGGGCTCCCCGACTTCTTTCTCACAGTGTTGCAGTGACTCAGAGCCTGACAGTCCACTGGCGGAAGACGCCAAGGTATGCAGCTGTCACTGAAACCACTAATCTGGAGTCCTAATGGTGGAGAGGTCGATATTCATTGTTTCATATTAGATATGGGGTTAGGTACATGTTTTATCCCATCAAACTGTGTATGAAATGTCCTGAGGAAGACACTGATTCCTTTCTTGCTCTTGTATTAAAAGGTCACTTGGTTACCTTAACACCTTAATTGAGTGTTTAAAGGCTGTTTTATGCAGTGGCATTTAAATGACACAGTACCTCTGCACATATGTGGACATACGATATGCACCTTTTCAAAAAAGTAGATGCATGTAAGGGCTATGTGTAAACTGCCGAAGCTGTACATTTTTCTGCTTTGTTTTTGTCCTACATGTTTCCATTGCCCTTGATGTTTGTTGGTAGCGACAACATGAATCATGTTGAAGAAATGCTCAGTTATGTAGTCACAGTAATGAGAGAGGCATTTGCATCTTGCAATCTAGTAAAGCGGTTTCCAGTGAAACCCTTGTCCACACTGTTGCCTGTCAGAAAGCAAATGAAAGCGTATAAACATGATTCCTTTGGACAGATAATAAATTCACAACACAACAGTCATCAAGTTACATCCCGTGCTTAACTATACATTAATAACCACTGCAACTCATCCATGTTAGAAACATGTTATTACTGCTTTTGTTTCTACTCTTGTCACATTGATGATGCAGCATCAATGAAGGCTCGTTTTATCCAAGAAACACATTTATCTCTCTGATTTCTCTTCTATGTGCCAGCCAAATGTGGGAGTATTGGACAGGTCGGCAGCAGGCGGCAGCGCTGGCGGCATGTTGGACCGTTCCCGCATGGTGCTCTGCGCCTTCACTTTCCTCTTCCTCTCCCTCAACCCCCTGGCCACCCTGCTTTGCTCATCTGGCAGCAGCTCAGCTGGAAGCACTGCAGCCAGCATGGCCCCTCACGCAGGCAGAAGTGTTCTGGGTGTGGATATCGCTGGTATGGAGGGGATAAGTGCTGGGAGACAGACAAAATGAAGCCACTATTTGTGGGATATTATGAAAAATAGCTGTTGTAGGGCTACAATTTCATGTCATGTTTGCCAAAATAGGATTTTTTTTACATAGAAAATGTGTGTTGTTCACAGCTGAGTCATGGGGCTGGATGGACTGGATGCTACCAACTATACTGGTGTGGCTACTAAATGGTGTCCTGGTGTGCAGAGTTCTGATCCGTCTGTTGGTGTATGGAGAACCTGTAACCAGACCACACTCTGGATCCTCTGTTTTGTTCTGGAGGCACCGCAAGCAGGCTGACCTGGATCTAGCTAGAGTATTTTTTATTTTTTTTTATTTTTTGTATAAATACATGTGAGGCATTTGTATTTCTTTTTTTTTTTTTAAATGAGACCTCGATCCTTATTCTTCTCAGGAGTAAAATTTCTTGTCTGTATTTAGCAACCTACTCTATGTGACCTTTTCTTTTTTTTTCATCATCACCTCTGACTTTCTCTCTCCCCAGGGGGATTTTGCCCAGGCCAGTCAAAACCTGTGGACTTGTCTAAAGGCTCTTGGTCGTCCCTTACCCACCTCCCAGTTGGACCTGGCCTGTGCTGCGTTGTGGTCCCTCCTAAGATTCTGCCTCCAGCGTTTTTGGGTGGGCCGCTGGCTGGCTGCCAGGGCTGGAGGGCTGCGCCCTGACCGCCCCCTGCAGGAGGATGCCTGCAAAAGCAGCCGTGACGCCGCCCTAGTTTACCACCGACTGCACCAGCTTCACATGACAGGTTGGTTTTATGGGGAAAAACGCATTTCTAAATTAAATCAGTGGTAGACTGAACACTGCAGGGCAGCATATTGAAGTGACAAAATCTCAGGCAATTAAAGAGCAACTCTGCCCCTTTTTTGCTTTTAGAGGTCATCTGAATCTGATTCACTGCCAATAAAAAATGTTACACTGAGGCTCTTTATTGTGATTTCTTTTTGTTGTTCTCTGTAAAACAGATTATTTTTCTTCTATGTGTAAATACAGGTAAATTGAATGGCAGCCATCTGTCAGCAGTGCACATGGCTTTAAGCGCAGTTAACCTGGCAGAGTGTGCAGGCTCCTGTCTTCCTGTTGCTTCTCTTGCTGAGGTGTACGTCTCTGCAGCTTTACGGGTTAAAGCCAGCCTGCCAAGGATCCTGCATTTCACTTCTGTAAGCTGCACAACGGTCATGCTCATTCATTCATATTGTGCAATTTAAACTGCGTTTTTGCCTAGACTATCAGAATTGAATGCTTGCACGTGATCCTGTTGCTTGTTAAGAGTTATACACTTATTTAGTTTTGAGTTGATGTTTGTTTCATTTGTCTTCCATGTTTAGTTAAACTGTTTTGTTAATGTTCCTGGCACGTACTCACTTGAGGCAAACTGAAATTAACAGTAAAAAATTTAAGTGAAATATAAACTGTGTTTTTCTGTCTGTATTCGACTTATGTAAGAAATGAAAGACCAGAAATGAACTGGACTTGGTGGTTTTTCTTTTTCCCCCATTAGCGTGTGTTTCTGAGCAATGCCCGCCAGGTGTGCTTGTCATCCAGTGGTAGTGTGCCTCCAGCCATGCAGTGGCTCTGTCACCCGTTAGGTCACCGCTTTTTTGTGGATGGGGATTGGGCTATTCGCAGCACCCCAAAAGAAAGCATCTACAGCCAGGCTGGAAACACTGGTCAGTGTATGCAAAACACGCTAAATGTCAGATGTATGTATCTATGCATGTCAAAATATCAAATTAATGTTGTTGAATCCTCTGTTACCTGAAGTCTGCACCTGATTTCTAAATGCATTTGTATTTCTCATGTTAATGGCTTGCTGGTATTTGTGCAGTGGATCCTCTTGCCCAGGTGACTCAGGCATTCAGAGAGCACCTCTTGGAGAAGGCTCTGTACCGTGTGGCCCAGCCTCATGGAGAGAAAAGTCCCAGCCAGGGCAAGGGGTGAGAAAATAAAACACTTCCAAATAACTGTTTTTGATACTGTTCATCATGATGAAATGTCGAAGTAGCAGAAACAATAAGCATTCAGTGTATGTTCCTCCTCAGGGAATATGCAGATGCCCTGGAGTACCTCCAGCTTTTGATTAGTGCATCAGATGCGGCTGGTGCCACATCCCAGTCCTTTGCTATTGGCTCCAACATGGCTACTGTGACTGGTAGGTCACTATGGCAACTCTCATTTCTTTTCACAACACATTTGTTTGTCTGTTTCATGTACCAGAAGATCAAAACCCACCACTGTAAGGGCTTTTTTTTTTTTTGGGCCTCGATCTGACTTCTTGCTTCACTTCTGCTTTTCTTCTTGGGAGATCATTGTTTGTTTCTTCTACATCTTTCATTCACCTGCCCTGACCACTCAATTTCCCTAATGCCCTTGAAAAATATGAAGCTGTGAGATGAAGTAAATCTTTACAATATTGAGCTTGAGTAGCTTGATTTCCACTGCTCTGACTTCCACTCTTCCGCCCCTTTCCTTTGTCTTCCTTCACTCATCACTGATCTGAGCAAGAGGGGCCTATGTGAACAGAAGGCATCCACTATATTGCTTCATCTATCTTCAGAATTGTCAAATCAGTGATCACCTTGAGAGGGAGGAGGGAAAGGAGGGATGTGCAGGGATTTTAATAGGGGATCTTTCTTGGCAGAGCCCCAGGTTACTCACACACAGTGTTAAAAGTCTGTATGTGTGTTGTACAGTGTTAAATAGTGTAGTTTTCCCTCAAAAGGAAAACATCAAAATGGCTGCTTTCTCTCAGCATTTGTGATTAAGTCAAAGGAGAAGCAGATTGATTCAGAGATCAAAATATAGACTGCAGCTGTCAGTGAGTGTGTGTGTTCACTCACTGTTGTGTATGCTATATGTGAAAGTGAGGGATTCAAATACTTGTTTGTGTGCAGTTGTCTCATTTTGATTGTTTTGTTTCAACTTCCAGGCTGCGACCCCCACTCTAAGTGGTGGTCTTCGGTTGCTGTGGTGATCATCAACTGGCTGCAAGGAGATGACACTGCAGCAGAGAGACTGTATCCGACTGTTGAGCACCTGCCCCGCAGTCTGCAAAACGCAGAGTAAATTGAACATACACACTGGAACCTTTATAGCCAGCCTAAGAGTGTTTTGCATAATCCTTGTCTGTTAATACCAAACAGGGGAAACACACACACACACACACACACACTTCCACCACCTTACTTTGTGTCCACTGTGTTCTCCCCCTCGCTTTGACAGGAGTCTTCTGCCCATGGTGTGTTTGAACACATTCAGGGCAGTGCGGGCATTGCTGTCCAAACCAGAGAACTGCCAGCTGAGTCTGAGCTACAGTGACAAGGCCAGCGCCCTGCTCCGAGACAGCCTCAACCTAGGACCACACTGCCACAACTCCAGTTTAGACAAGGTAAACACACACAACCACTTGCAGATTTTGGACACATAAAAGTTGATGTTTATTTTTCCTGTGAGGGAAATTTTGTAGAGGCGACAGTATCTGCATGAAAAATATGAAGATACATACATACATACATACATACACACACACAGTGACAGATGTGCCCACATGTGTGAGTGTAAAATTGTAAACACAGGAAATTGCCCACACAATCACTTGAGTATGCACACACACACACACACACCACAAAGCCACACACTTTAACAGCGAATCCCCCACAGCACCTTCACTCTGTGGTACTGCGGTGTCCTACCCTCTGGCACTCAGCAGATGGTGATGCTGGTGGATAGGTAGCTCACAATGTGTGTGTGTGTGTGTGTGTGTATGTCTATGACCAGAGCTGCGGTGCATTGTAGTTGCATTGCATGTGTGTCTCAGCGGAGTGCAATGTACCTGCAGTGCAACACAGAGCTGGGCCACTAACAACGAAGCACACACACATGCACTAAGCTCTTTGACTTCGAGTAGTCCACTGTTGTACTTAGTACCATATCTCTGTTTATTATTTATCTGCTATCATTTCACACAAACTATTTGTTAGTATTAATACACATCATCATTGTTTTATTTAGGTGAAATTAACACTGCAGAGTAGTTACTGAGTCAGATTTCTTCCAGAAACTTTTGAGTATGCTCACAAGAAATACTAGATGTAGTTTTTCTTTGTGTTGTTCAGTATCATAAACATCAAGTAGAATATTACACACCTTGTTTTTCCACATCAAAACAGGTACTTTGACCTCTGAGACTCTATCCCCCATGTAAGTTTCCTCAAGTAGAATAATAAATGTAATATCTAGAATGCTCAGTTTTAAACAGAGATATACTGTATGGTACCTTTCAAACCAGCACACATATGAAACAAACTCTTATTTCATGTCAATAATCAGTGGTCCCAACCTTCTACATCTGCAGTGGTTTTACTGCTGTAAACATGCAAGTCTTCTGTGGCAGTAAAATCTGTTCCATCTCAGATCTAATCCTGTTCATTTTTCTCTACTGTAGGTTGTTCAGTTGCTCTTGTGTGATCTGCTGTTGGTGATGAGGACCAATGTGTGGCATCTGCAGCAACAGGGGGCCAGTTCTGCGGGTTCAGGGCCTGTGGGTAGCAGTGGCCCCGCCGGGATCCACCAGGCCTCCCCCTTGGAGCTCCAAGGCTTTCAGCAAGATCTCAGCTCCCTGCGCAAGCTGGCGCACAGTTTCAGACCTGCAATGCGAAGAGTACGTAAAACAAAATGATCCTCATCACTGAGCAAGCAGTTTGGGGATTCATTGTCATGCTGACCTACAGTCAAAGTTTGATTTAGTCTAGACTGTTTTCTGACCATATTTCCTCTCAGTCTAACACATAAGCAAACACAACACAAATACTGGTTGAGTGACACACACAGGGAGTTATTGGAACAAGATGAACGCAGCTCCTGTGTTGGTGCATTGTCAGGCACTTAAAACACTATAATAAACCCACATGTGTAAGATCGGTGCACGAGCATCAACACAGATCCGTACATGCTGCACATATTGTGCCTGGAGTGACATTTGAATTCAAAAACCAAATGCAGCACATTAAATGTAAAGGTGCGTCCTGTGCGCATATTTGCAGGCAGTCAACAATACAGTTCTCTGTGGAAATTAGCTAGGAGGTGTTGCAACACACACACACACACACACACACACACACACACACACACACACACACACACCCCTGAGGCGAGTGTTTAGCAGCGTTGTTCACAAGGCTTCAAAGTCCCTCTGAGCAGAGCTGAATGTTGTACATGAGTCATCATCACTCACTCTCTTCCCTGATTCCCCCCCCTCCAATCTTTCTCTAGCTTTTCCTCCATGAAGCTACAGCCAGGCTGATGGCGGGAGCCAGTCCCACCCGAACACATCAGCTCCTGGATCGCTCGCTGCGACGCAGAGCGACACCCGGAGCCAAGACAGGTATGTGTGGATGTACTTTTGTGGATTTTTAATTTTCCATCCACGCCGCACCAGTAATTCTGTGTTTAGACAGCACAGTTTTATTAGCATCTACTGCTCTTGATATTTTGAAATTGTGTGTATTATTCTATTCTTTCATTCTGTGCTACTAGTTTTGTGAGGATCTTAATTAGTTTTTGTTTTTTGTAATTGTTCTACATTGCCTAGTATTTCTCATGAATTAGCAAACATTCTCTCTCAGACGGAAACGGAGCTATTGTGGCAAGTATACGATGCTCTGATAGCATAACCCTAATTTTACATTGTTTTTATGAGTAGGTAGAATTAAAGTAAGTAGTAGAAAAGAAATCAAAAATCAGAGGCTTACTAATAAACCTCAGTCACAGATTTCTAGACATTGATTGGCTGTAATCAGTGACTCTAATCAGCTTCTTGTCTATTTTGCCCAATTGTTCACTGCTCTAAATCCCATCAGTAATTAAGCAAGACGCCTCTTAAGTTTGATTGGCTGATGACATCAAGCAGCTCCCCCAAAATGCCACAGCATTCTAATGTTCTTTTTTGTGTGTATTTTTTCTATTCTGCACAGAGGAGTGTGAGACACGGCCTGGCCAGCGGGAGCAAGCGGAGGCCGTGATGCTGGCGTGCCGCTACCTTCCCCCGGCCTTTCTGTCGGCCCCCGGCCAAAGGGTGGGCATGCTAGCGGACGCTGCCCGCACCCTGGAGAAGCTGGGAGACAAGAGGACCCTCCATGACTGCCCATCTCTGACATTCAGAAACACACACACAAAGGAAACACAGACACACAGCAATACAGCCACTGGCATTTTGTTGTGCAGCTTTTGAACAGATGTATTAGATCTATACAGATTCATATCAAAAAGACAGAATCTTCTTCATAAATTGTCCCTCCCACCACCCCAACCCCACATAAGAAGGCACTAGTGATCGCACCCTTGTTCTGGATTATTATTAGAATATAGGAATCATTCTCTCTTACTGAGCTGGATACCCCTGTAAGAATTAATTGCAGTGCCACAGTTTGACCACAAAGAGGAGCCATCATGTGCTCTTTGTGGTTGGTGTAGTGTGCGTGTGTGTGCGTGTATGTGTGTGAGTGTGTGCGCGTGTGTGCACGTGCATGTGAAGAATGAAAGAGATTTTTGCCCTGCATTTACTCAGTGTAGTCCCCCACATGGATGCACCTTCAGGAGTGCTCAGTGGGCTGGAGTGCTGGGCTGCTCTGATTGGCTGCAGAGTCATAATGTCTCTTGTCTGTGAGAGGAAAATAACCAAACAAGGATTGGTTTCGGCCGTGGGCTTGTTCAGTGGGAAGCCACTTTGCAGGTTGTTCAAATACTGTTCGTGTGCATCTAAATCAGTGTTTCCCAAATAATAATCTGAGGTGAGGTGACCCCACTGTACAAGCTCCGTGCCTCTGTCTGCACTAGCCCTGTGAGGCCGATTTCAGTAATAATGGCTTTATGAGGTTGTTTTCATTGAGGTTTATTGTTTGCTGTGTACATATTTTGAAATGTATTTATAATCTTTGTGGATTTTGATTAAGTAGTGTTTCTTCCATCTATTTCATGTGGTAGATTTAGATCGGGCCCAAATACTGTAGTCACTGTACTGTGTTGCCATGGCGATGAGTGTCAAAGCGGCGTATTAAGTTATAAAGGTGACATTTGCGTCACATCGTCTGATTCAGTTGACCTCTTGCACTGTTGCACACGTATGCAACTGTGGTCATAAAGGATTTTGGCAGTGCTCGACATTGGCATTGCCAACTGACAACTCAGCATGAACTTCAGGCACTTTTGCAACAAGTTACATGAGTCATTCCGGCAGTTTAAAATAAATAGCCATTTCTCCCCCATAAAGGGCGTGTGATGAATCGCCTCCTGGTTTCCCTTCGTCGCTCCAGCATAAAGAGCAATACTTGCTCTTTCAGTCGTTATAGTGTCATGCTCCTAGACAAAATAAAAATTTGGTATGCCTTTTTTCTTTCTGAGAACTGGAATGTTTCTATGGTATTACTGATGTGAAATACTGGAAAAGGTTGGACTGAGATGAATGTGACACGACCATGTCTAAGCATTGTTCACGGGTCCTTTAACTGATATCTTTTGGTTTCACTTTTTTCCCCCCCGATGTAAATATTAAAACGTTTTGTAAAAAAGACTGTAGTGTTTCTTCTGGTGCTTTCAGGTGCAGCAGAGCAAAGGAGTTGGGTATGATGATGATGATAGCAGTAGTTTAAATTTCCCTCCACCTACCTAAAAAGTTATTCAAGTCGAACAAGGGCTTCAATGTAAAACGGGATAGAACTTTAAATTTAAAAAAACTGAAATAAACTGTCCAAAATACTATTTTGTCAAACAAATTCTGAAAGCAATGGGCAAAAAAAAAGGTCATTAAGTGCAACAGTATAAAAGGGCAGAGTGGGTTTTTTCTCTGATTCAAATAATTTACATGTTCATGTTCACTACAAGCTTTGAAATGTAACCGTAGAGATTTTTTTAATGGCATGAAAATGGAAAATATACTTCATACTTAAACTCTGATCCAGATTGTCTACAGTGTGTTAATGTCAGTGCACGTACAGTAAAGACAAAAAGAGCAGGCACTGGTTAAGCAGCATTGAAAGGTGCTGGTATATTTAACATTGGTGTTACAAAAAACATTTCAAACAAAGTGATGCTGTGTCATCAGTTCCAAACAAATCGACATGAAAATCAAACGGCATGCTCCAACTTAAAACAAGTGACATTCCCAAAAAAGATTTTTTTTCATCAGTGGATTCTTTTAATAACAGTTTATAAGCAATAACATATTCCATTTTATAGAAAATAAACATCTCTAGGAAATACTATACACAATTATATTAGTACATCACATCTTACATTTAAACAGCATCAAATACCTATATACACCATTAAATAATGAGCTTCATAAAAGAGAAAGTTTGGTGTGGCGTTTTTGCACTTTCTTTTATGCTTTAATACTTAAATATGTCTCCATTTGATATGACCAGTACTTAGTTGACACCCGGTACAGGGTGTTGTTACATAGCATGAAGGATTGAAAGAGGCTACATTTGAGATACACAAACAGACATGTGTGTTATGAAATCTGGGTCAAATGTACATCTTTCTGCACGGCTGTGGCAGGTGAAATAATCGTACACCATGGCGATGTTTAACAGTAATACTCCTGAACTGTACACAGATATGAGGTGAGCTGACCTGACTGATCTGCAGCCGGTCAAGTGACGATGGCAGCGTCTACTGTACATACTGAATGTGCACACAGTTGAATGGATTCCTAAACAGTTATCTTTTTAATATATCTTTTTTTAAATTATTATTATTTTCTGAATAACACAAAGCCTGACAAATACCAAGGGTGACGCAATGATGTTTTATAGTCATAATGCACATCAAAATACATCTCCGAAGATAAGAGCATTATATTAAAATACTGCGTCAATTTTTTTGTAACTCTTCAATATGAGAATATTCAGAACCTGTAAAGCACATTACCATGTACAGTTTCCTTTTTTGTTTCATTTTGTCACGTGTTTTAAACACAAACGCACACATTGACCTACACCCAGTAGTTGGCTGCTGTTTTTTCGATACATGACATCTTAGATTGGAGATTTCTTCACCCACGCAGACACGTATACACAAACACGCAGATGATGCGTCTGTAGAATGACACTTCTGTGATAATTGCACCCACATACACATGCGCACAGACACACACTCACTCATACGCACCCCTTGGCCCACTGACAAGCTGGCCAGAGGGATGCTCCTGTCCAATCAGTGTACGCCAGGTGTCTGAATATGATAGCAACCCATCCAAAGGCAGAACACACACACACATTCCTCGCTCTGCATTTCAAACAGCCCGCCTGTTCAATGGGCCCTAGGCACATAGTCTCCAAAGCGCAGCCGGTCTTCCCGTTAAACAGCACCTCTGCATTCTGCCTTCCAGTAAGGGCTCAGTTGAGAAAACACATTTCCAGTGCACGGTCAGGGAGTAGCTCTTCTCTTCTGAGCTGTTCACCAAGTTTTGTATTGCTCCTATAGCCCCACCTCGACGCAACCTTTTACCTGCCCCAGCTCCACTGGCTGACGTACCTGTCCGTCATCAGTCATCACTGTGTTTTTTACATATAGGTGGCCCTTGGGACAGCATTTTCCTTGGTCTTGCTGGATAGGTGGTGCATGCCTGGCTGAGAGGTGGTGTTGGTGGTGGAGGTGGTACACCGGTATATCTTACAGGTCCTATAGAGGAGGGGTAGAGAGACTGGCGTAAATATAAACCACAGACACACAAAGAGGAATGAAAGGTGAGGTTCTCTGGAACCACAGCATTGGCTTTGAACTCAAAGCACTGCACAATACTTGTACATAAAAAATCTCTAATGTATCAACTTAATGTTTTGTTGGTATATGTGTATGACTGTACATGTCCAGGGGTACAGTAGCCACTGCAGGCGGAAGCTCCTCCTGCCGTTCTGAGCTCAAATGCATTGCTGTCCGTGACCGTATGAGTGTTTCAGTACACATCTGCAGAGTCCACACATGAAAGTCAGCTGGCTGCAGTGTGCAGAGGTGGGAAGATGGATGCATCTGGCCAGTAAACCAACTCCACTGTGAAAGACACAGCAGGAACAGCTACTAATTGTGTTGGTGGGGTGATGTGGGTGGAGCGCTTTTCTTTCCCCCGTCCTTCTCTGTAGCACCCCAGTTTCTCTTGCTCACTCTCTCTGTGTTTCTCTCTGAACTGCCAGTTACCCATCCTTGTGCCTAGGGCTCAGGCCAGCAGCTTTCCTCTCTGTCTTTTAGTGTCTTTCATTCTCTCCCTCTTTGAAGTTCACGTCCCTCACTCCCTCTCTTCCTGTTTACCTCCCTGGAGTAACTCTCATTGTTTTACACCTCCCGTCTCCCTTTGCTGCCTGTCTCTCTTGTTGCCCCTCTTTTCTTTTTCAATTTCTGTCGCTTTCATTCTGTCGCTCTCTGATGTAACTGCCCCCATTTGTCTTTTGTTCCTACACAGTTGCAGTTTTCTTCTCTCTGTCCCTCCATCTGTCTCTCTCCTACTCGCTGTCTGTATACGTGTGTGAGCTTACAGGTAACCTGTTAATGAACCTGTGTGGACACAGTGTGTGTCTGTTTGCACAATAGAATCCACAGCTGAAAGCAGCCTGTGCTTGCAGTTTCACTGAAATGTGTGTTATGAACAGAGACAGAGAAAAGATTTCTGAGGGGAACCTATGGGTGGGGTGGTTGCATGTGTGTGTGTGTATCTGCTCTTCCTTTTGATTAAGGCTGCTTAGTGCAAATTGGTACGGCACAGACCCACACACACAGACCTTTAGATCCCTCAGCTGATGACGGCTCTGCCTCAGCCCACTAACAACAATCTTTCTGTCTTGCTCTTCTTTTTGCTCTGTATCTCACACGCTATTTCTGCTGCTTAGACGTGGGAGTTGAGGTAAAGAGAGGTGGGGAGAGGAGCAGAGAGGAGATGAGAAAGAAAAAGGGAGGCAGGGATGAGGAGGGATGAAATGGAAAAGGGAGTTCACAGAAGATGAGAGGTGAACAGTGTGAGAGACGGAGGGAGCTGGAACAGCAGGGGAGCGCAGAGGCAAAATAAGGGGAATGGGGAAAGAAAGGAGGAGAAGAGAGAACTAATGAGAGAAAGAAGTAGAGAGTAAAAGAGAGAGAGGGTGGAGAGAGCATGTGGGGAGGATAGCAGGCAGCGGTGGTGGGTGGGGTGTTTTGATCAGCAGCCAGCTTTTTATCCCTGTCAGTCTGCACAGAGGAGAAAAGGAAAGGATGCGGGAGAGAGGGAGGGGGAGAGATGCAGAGAGGGGAAGGAGGCTACAGCCACTGCTGCCTCAATGCACCACTGCTCCCTGCTGAATGTCAGCGTTGCTCCCTCGCTTCCCCTCACCCTCCCACCCCCCTATGCATTTGACCCTCCTCTCTGTGCTGCAGGGAAAATATGGCACCACCAGATGGCGTCTGTCTTTCAGGTAAGTGGACTGTTCATATTAACACCAAAACAGTAGCCCTTTGCAGCTGCAGTGGTTGGTAGTCATAAGAGTGGGTGTTGAGTCACTGAAATTCATAAAGGGCAAATAAGAAGTGTTCACACCGCTAGCGGCAGTTGATATTGGTTTCGCTCGCCAAGGTTACTGGCTGCACATTAATTTGGTAACAGTTAGTACATGATGAGATCCTTGCTTTTATGAGTTACACGCTGGAAAAAACAGCAACTTGAATCACCATCTTCTGTCCATTAATTCTCTTGGTGTTTTACAAAGGTTAGCAACTGTGTTGTCTGTTGTATACTGAATCACCTGTAAAGCCATTGCACTGCTACTTGTGTGTTTTGTCTGTGTTGAGAAGAGGGATAAAGTGTGGAGGGGATCAGAGGTGGTGGGGTCGGAAGCTGGGCTACGGGGAGAGAGGGTTGATAGGGAGGGAGGCAAAGGAGGGGATAACAAAGTCAAAGTGCACACTGGTTCTTAAAGAAGGGAGACTCTGGATATTCTGATGGACCGCAAGCCTGTGTGCACCAACTGGGCGTAAAGACAGAAAAAACACTAATGCCTGGGAGAGGCTGTTACCTTGGGAGAAGCTATGGTTTAAAAATCATCTACATAAAACCCTCCCTAATATCTATGACTCACTGTTAAAGCAGGGTGAGCTAATGAGTTGGTACTAACCAATAATCAGCTGAAAAGACTTTAAACGCATTAATTCACTAGTTTTGAAGGACTTTTTCTTACCTCATGTTTAGGACATTTGATGGAGAAGTCATCCTCATGGAATGTGCAGCCTAGGCAGGGAGGAAGAAAGCAAAGAGAGAGAAGAAGCTAAAGTGTTGCAGATAAGCAATAAAAATAAACAGTATGAAGTGGATATACACAACAACCCCCCCTCATAAAAGCAGGCAAATCACAAGGAGGTATGGTTAAATGAAAAATGAGCAATAAAGAGTCAGAGAGAGAGGAAAAAGAGAGCAACAGAGGAAGGAGAGAGACTGAGTGGATGAGTTGTGGTGCAGGCAGGCCGTCAGATAAGGCTGGTACACTCAGCAGGATTAAAAAAGGCCAGCGCTCCGCTCCTGGTGCTGGCTTGGCAGATGTGGCAAGCCTTTTAATCCTCACACTGGCATGAGGTAATGTAGGGGGAAGCCATACAACATGTGCTGACATACAGACACTCACTCCTATTGACAAAAACAACCAGGGACACACTTGCAGCCACTGAAGGGAACATACAACAAGGCTTTCAGGCAGGAAGGCACACACATAGATGCATGCATTCATATTCAGTCCACAGACAGCAGAATGGATGGATGGAGCCACAGAGGTGGTGGTCAATAATGCACACATATACACCCTCCTCCCTTAGCACTTCTTTTTCACCTTCTTACAAACACTAAGGTCCCACTTTCCTCTCGTCATCGCTTATCCGTCCCCCACCCACCTCTCTCCTTCCCTCTTCTGCTGTCCTGTAGCCCTCTCAGACATCTCTTCTCATGCTCAGTAATGTTACTTCTTGATGCATTTCCCTTCTCTCATTTTACCCACATCCACTCTCTCCCTCTCTTGCCTCCCCTCCTTTCATTTTTCTCCTTTTTTGTGCCTGTCTTCTTTGTTCCCCTCCCTCTTACCCTGTCAGCTTACATTCATCTTCCCATTCCTAATTTCTCTCTTCATTTCTCTTCCCTTTCCCAGGGTTTTCTTTCCTTTTCATCCCTTGTTGCTGTCTTCCTCGTTCACTTTGGTCTCTTACCTATCTCTTTGGCGCAGACATAGTGGTATTTATGACAGCAGCCTCTCCAGCAGCAGCTGAGGGACGCCCCCACAATCTGGCACTTGTAGCAACTCTGGGGTTAGTCAGACAGAAGGACATATGGGCCGAGACCAATAAAAAGACAAACAAATTGACCGATGGAGGGACAAAGAGAAAAAAATGGGGAAAAAGGTTGAAAGTTAACAACAATTTCTTAGAAAAGCTGCACAGATTCTGAAAGGGACAGCACATAGTATTTCTTAACTTCCATAAGCATGCACACATTCCAGAGCAGTATAAGACTGATTGGTGGAAATGATCATACCGCTTGGGCTGAGCTGTTGGCAGCCTCTTTCAGTCCATACAACCTCCCAGCTACCATGATTACCCCCCTGGTCCATATGGCACAGTTTTCATGGGCCCAGTGCTCCTTAGCCTCTGCCTCCACTTGTAGCTTTTGGAACATGCTATGTTCTTGGTCACCTGAAGCCCCTGTGTCGATGGCCTGGAGCTGTTTAATCCTCCTGAACCTCTCTCGCAGAGTCAGTCTTCGTGGACCACCCTCCTGACCCATTCTTTCTGTTCTTTCTGCCCGTCTGTAGCGCCAGTGGTGGTGCCTGCTACTACTGCCTTCTTGGGTGGATGGCTCTGTAGTTCCATTCTTTTCCGTGCTGCCCTCACCCTCGTTCTTTGAGGAATCACCTGGTTCTTCACTGCTGCTACTCTTATTGTCACTGGCCTTCACCAACTCTTCCCTGAGGGATTCTGAAGGCCCGATCGTCAAAACTTTCCGCGGGACGCCATCCTCTGTGTAGTAGGGTCCGCACAAATCACCTAGGTCTCTGTAATTTGCTGGCTTTCCACACAAACAACATGTAAGACACCTTCCAACTAGATTTTTATTTACCAAGGGTCCCAGTAGCATGGCAGCAGTATGTGGTGCTACCTTTGCAACTGTAAAAGGATTCCTCATTCTAAGTATACCCTTTTTTCTACGTCTCTGAAAAATCACTGCATCCTCAGGCTTGTTGACTATGGCACACCAAGAGGAAAAGTCTCTGGAGTTGTTAATCCGTACATAAGGACAGAAGGACAGTTTAGAATGTTGATGTACTGGTCTGCGCCTGATTCTTTTCACAGAAATGGTCTCAGTCCGTTTTTCTGATATTGTCACCACAGGGCCCACAACACAAGTATTATCTTTTTCCTTATTTTCGTTTTCCCTTCTTTGCCTTTCTTCTTTTTCTCTCTCTTCTTTTTCAGCCTGTTCGCATCCTGCAGCCCTTACTACTGCCTCAATGACCTCAATGGCGTCTTTCATCCCAGGTTTTGGCCCAGGCTTTTTGTGGACCTTCACTGGCATGCCGGGAATTTGCTCTGATGAGGCTTTGCCTCGTTTCCTCTTGGTTGCATTTGCTGATGGTTTTCGGCCTCTTCTAGGTTTCTGGGTGAGTTCTGTGCTAGCAACTGGGGTGGCTTTTGGGATCTCATCTGGGCTGACTGGTTGAGGTAATGTGGACTCTGTGGGGGTTACCGTCTCTTCTACCCTCTTCTCTTGTTGTTCTAATGTGTCAGTATTTGTCTCATCGACAGAATCTGTTTCTTCAAGAGGGACCTGGCCTTTCCTCTTCTTTCTTCTCTGTTTTAGGTGCATCTCATGGTTGTTTTTAATTGCCCTCTGTTTCGCCAGCCTTGGTGTTGTAACTATTAGGCTTCCTGCCTCCAAGGCTACTACTGAGGCATCTGTACTTTCCACCATAGCCCATCTCTTCCTTTTTGTTTTGGTGAACTTGGTGGCAGTGGTGGATACACCTTCTGAAGCGTGTGGTGTCCACTCTCCTGGAGCCCTGACTTCTACTGGGGCCACTATTGAGCCCCAAACCTTGCCAGTGAAAACATCTTGCTGTGCCCCTGGTTTAATGTTTTCCTGTCCTGTTTCTTTCTTATTTCCAACGTCTTCCTCTTTTGGCATTGACATTACTTGACTCATCTCAAGCTTTTCTTTTTCTTGTGTCATCTCCTCTTTTCTCACTGCCCCTTTGTGTTGTTTCAATTCTTCTTGTCTAGACTCTATGCTTTTCACTTCTCCCTTTATTATCTCACTGCTATTTATGAGCATAGATGTTTCACCTTCTTTTAAGACATGTTGAGACAAAGCCTTGGTTGTCACATCATCAGTTAGATTGCTGTCTGTCTGGGGAATCAGGAGGTGTTTCTTTGAGCTGGGAGATGTAATTTTCTGCACCATGGCCTCATATTTCTGTCCTCTGCCTTTGCGCGGTGGGAGAACTTTTGTTTTAGTGGGGCACTGAGGTGGCACCACAGGCATGTCACTAGTGATGTCAGATTCACTGATGGTGGGAGGAGTGTCTTTGGCTGGGGGAGTGACAACAGAGGTTTTCTTGGGTGGCCCTCTTTTTTTCCTGGGGCCCCGAACACACTTCTCTTTAAGTGTAGAAGCAACCTGTTCTGACAGAGGGAGTTGAGGTGCTAAAGGTTTTGGTTTGGGTTTTGGACCTCTCTTTTTCTTTACTTTTGTAATGGAAAGGTCTGAGCTAGGTTTACGTTTTTGTGGAAGCAGTGTCTTTAGTTCAGATTGTTCAGCTGGTACTGGCGGGACAAATGGTGGAGGCAAGTCTGCTAGAACATCTGTGTTTTCAGCTGCATTGGCAATTGGAGTTAAAAGCGCCTCTACATTTGGAGAAACATTGCCATCTTTAATTTCTGTTAGTGTCTGGAGTAGAGTATCTTCTCCTATTTTTTCTTTTTCTTTTGATAGTTTTTCTTGTGAGGGCTTTCTGGATCTCAAGACCATATTCTTACTCTCCTTTTCTGGTGCCTCTGTGTCATGATTTACTTGTTTCTCTTCCTGGTTTACTGGTTTTAAATCCTGGTTTACTTGTGATATTGTGGTTTTTAGGCTCTTCCTGCCCCTGCTTTGCAGTCCTATCAAAGGTTCAGTGGTTTCTTCTTGCAGCATCAGCTTTGCTTTGGAAACTGAACCCTTGGGACGACCCACTGTGGTCTTGATGTGTGCAGTGTCAGTAGGGGACAAAACGTCAGCAACCTTGGGTCCGGGCTTAGGTGATAGTTTTGGAGCTGGCTTTAGAACTGGTTTTGGACCAGTTTTTAGTCCAGGCTTCGATCCAGGTTTTGGCCCAGGTTTTGAACCTGGCTTGGGTCCAGGTTTTTGTTTTACAGGAATCTCAATTTTCAGTGGCAACTCTGGTTCATTTGACACAGGTTTTGGTCCTGGTTTTTGTCCAGGTTTTGGTCCAGGCTTTGGTCCAGGCTTTAGCCCAGGTTTATGACCTGGTTTTGGCCCTGGCTTTGCTCCTGGCTTCGGTCCTGGTTTTGGTCCAGGTTTTGGCCCTGGTTTGGGCCCCGGCTTTGAACCAGTTTTTGGGCCTGGTTTTCTCTTCACATGAGGCTCAACTTTGGGAGGCAAGTCTGGTGCATTAAATGAGCGAGTGCACATTCTTGAACAAAAAACATCAGTTACCATTTTGGGAGTCTGGCTCACAATAGATTCCTGATGAGCTAGGTCCATTTGATCTGAGAATAGCACAGTTTTGCTTGGAGCCATACAAGGCTTCTGTGAAGGTGAGGTGGCTCCTTCCTCTTCCTTCTCCTCCTCCCTCTCCAAGCTTAGTTGTCTCCTGATTCCCACACCTGAATGTGTAATTCTCCTTCTGCCCCTTGCATGCTTGCGTCCGAATGCCCTCGGCTGAGCAGATGGGGTGACGGGCTCAGGTTTGGCCAACGGGGTCACAGCACTGGCACAGCTGATGCCTGGCTCCATGTCCTCATCACCTTTTTTGGGGGAGGGTGGAGTGTCTGCCCAGGATGGAGCAGAGGGAAGTATCGACTTCCCTGGCAGCTGAGGAGAGTCTGGCTCTAGCATTTTAGCATCACTGTGATCAATATGGTCCCTGGTCTGAGCCATGGGAATTGTCTTGTCATTCAGAGCTGAAAAGACTGGCATAGCAGACTGAGGCTGAGGAGCAGTGTCACCAATGGCTGATTTCCGTGCAGATGCACCTGCTGCTGCTGTTGCTGCTGCTGCATTTGGATGGACAGGTACCTCTGCAAAGTCATTGTCAGTGTGGAGCTCAGTGCCCTCCTTTATGCTGCAGAGATCTCCAGTAGGCTTCTCTAGCCCATCTCTATTATTCATGTGCTCCTCAATCAATGACCGGCTCACTTTCTCTCCCTCCCCTAGTTGCTCCCTAACCTCTGCAGATGGAGGAGGGGAAAGAGAATGTTGCTGTTGTTTCCGTATTTCTTCTTCTTCCTCCTCAGTGGCCTCCTCCTCTCCATCCCCCTCCTCTTCTCTGGTCTCTTTCTTGTCTGAATTGCTCTCATCCAAGGCCTCAACTTGGGGGGTTGGAGAGGTGTTCTCTGAGCTGTCCTCCTTCTCTGTGGAATATCGATCCTGTTCAAGGTCACCCCTCAAAATGAAAGGCAAGGTTTTCGCTGAGCTTTCAGAAGCAGTTGGAGACTCAGATTTGAATGCCTGTGATTTCATCTCATGACCAAAGTGTTCCTTGCTGCTGGAGTCAGAGAGAGCTACCGGGGACCGTTCAGCTGAACTCTGAACCCCTTGGTACACTGTCTCCTCATAGCAATAGCTTTTTTCTGTCACGTCCTTGTTTATTTTTCTGTAGAGGGCTGGACATTTCTCTTCATCTGACCATTTCCCCAGCTTCTCTGTAGATTCAGTTATGTCTGAATCCTGCTCATGGTCAAGAGTGTTTTTTGTCACCTCCTCTTTGTCGGCTGATTTCTCTGTCCAGGCAGATTCTTCAAAGTTCTCTTTAACAGGCTCATTGATATGCTGTATATCAGAAGGGGAGTCCCCTTCTTGTTTCATAGGACTGGATATTATAATGCTTGTAGGAGACCTCTCATCACCAATGCTCTTCACTGGAGTGCTCATGCCATCTCCTCCCAGCCCTGACTGACATCTGTTAGGGTCAGGAGTAAGGGTGTGCAGACCGGAGTCCCCAGACCTGGTAGACATATCATCTGGGGAGGTCATGGAGCATGAAGAGACTGTGTCCAGGCTGAGTTGTGTGTTGTTAGGGGCTTGTGCTGGACTTCTGCCCTGACCACAGTAGTAGTAGCCCTTCTCCAGCTGTTCATCACTACTGCTGGAGTAGCCCCCCTCATGGAGTTCCATGGGCATTGGCTGGTGCTGTGGGGTAGAGTAAGAGTCCTGCATAGGTCCTCCAATACTACCACCACCACCATCTGGATACGGAGGACTTTTGTACTCCTCACCCTTTTTAGAGGATCCTCCATTTCCAGCACTGTTGTTGTTCCCTATACTGCTGCGCTTACAGCCTTTCTTGTTGGCCACCAGGGCCTCAGAAAGCAGCAGTTGCTGGACATTATTTGAGATGTTCTCTACCTGAGAAGTGAGGGCATTTAGGCTCCACAAGCTGGGATTTGACAGCAGCTTCTCTGAGAACCGTTCTTTCATGGTGAGGACCTGGACCTGCGGTGTGGTAGTATAGCTGTGGGAGACTCCATGGGGCACACTAGGGGAGGGGTGTGAGCGTGGGGGCATCAACATGGCGGCACTGGCTTGCTCCTGCATACCAGCTGAAGAGGATGAAGAGGAGGAGGCTGTGCCAGGGGTCATGGGAGGTTGAGCATACTGGAAGGACTCTGGATTGGTCATTAGTGGTGAAGGGGTGGAACTGTATGAGGGGGAGCGCCCTACAGAACGTGCGGGGGAGTGGCTTGAAGAGGGGCTACAAGTTTGATAATACTGCTCTGGTGATCTGACAGACAGCTCTGAGAGACAGTAGGCTTGTTGGGGTTGGCTGTAGTGTTGGTATTTAGGGTGGGGTTCCTGGGGGTTGGTCATGGCCTGTAAAGTGGACTGTGGCTCATAACCTCTGGAGGGAGGCTGCTGGTAGCCATAACTGTTCTGTGCTGATCTGTAACCTCCCTGCTTCAGATTGCTGTGGCTGCTCATTTGTCTACCATACTGGGAATTTGGAGGCATGTTGTAACCTTTATAACAGTGGGGCATAGGGCTGCATTTTTCCATGTATGGCGAAGGAGAGGGTGAATGCTGAGGGTAGTGCAGGTGACTCTGGGGGTAAATAAGAGGGGAGGGAGTAGGGTTAGGAGGGTGGGGCTGATGGTGGGGACTAGTATAAGCAGGGGTGGTGGATTGGTGGCACGAGGTCTGGGAATGGCCCAGTATATTCAGGTCCATATACTGAGAGGAGCTAGGTGCAGGGGTACCACCAGCCTCCATACGCCCCACCATCTCCTGTTCATACTGTGCTAATTGGGCTGGGTCCTCCCACTTCTGCTGGAGGTGGCCCTCATTCATATACTGGGCTGAATAATTCCCAGGGCCCATGTGGTTAGTATAGCCTGGAGGACCCTGCAGGTGCTGACTTGGGTTTAGTGGGGGAACTTTGCTTCCTCTGAAGGATTTCTTTGCTTGCGAAGGTGCTGAGCCCCCATTTCCACTCCCATTCTCTCCACCATTGCCTGGGTAGCCTGAGTAGGCTTGCTGGCTGTAACAGTCTTTGGGGCCTCCTCCAGTTCCTGGTCCACCAGCTGGAGGCATGTTTGTGGGGTTCGCCAGTGATTGAACCTCATAGCCTAATCTGGCATGTCCTGGGCCTGGGCCTGGATGCGGACCAGGGCCTGGGTGCGGGTGCTGGGGGTGGGGATGATGTGGGTGTTGCCGATATGTCTCCAGGTGGGATAATTCATGGGAATCCTGCTGGTAGCAGGGTTGGTTGCTGTGGTAACCACTGCTGCGCTCACGGAAGGACTGCATAACGCTCTCCGTCTGTGGCCAGAGCAGGGAGGGGGAGGTGAGACGGGAAAGGGGGAAGGGGGTTTAGGGGTTCTGAAGGCATGGAAAGAGGGGGAAGCAAGAGAAAAGAGAGAGAAATTGCAAGGGTTAGTGTTGTTGATCCTGGGATTTCTCCATTTTGCATTTCACCTTCCAATGTTTAATTCTATTTTAGCATTCACCTGCAGTCAAAGCAAAATTCTCCCCGTCTTTAAGAAACACTGAAGATATTTTTCACACTCATTGATACAACACAACATCCTACATAATCAACACACAGATGTTCACATGTTGATAGAGCAACTTTTTGCTTGTCCAGTTTTGATGGCACCATGCATGCATGTGTGTGTGTATATGAGCATTTTGTGCTGTGTGTGTAAAATGGCCCCACAATGGTGCAGCTCCAGTATCTGTTTCAGCCTTTCAAGATGAAGGGGCAGGCATGTGACACTGTCTCTGGTGCTATGGCTGACATGTCTGAGAGAGAGAAAGGAGGACAAGACAGTGATGTTTGTGTGTAATAAATAAATAAACATAGCCTAGCAAAACCTGTCTGTATGTTTGTCAATATGCCAAGGGGCATGACGGAGGCCAGGCAAATGTTCTAAGACCGGAGGCCACAGTAATAATATAACATCTGAGGATCACCAGTCCTGGGTTTTACCACTTTGAGTCTGAACTGAACTTACTAATGACTGAGGCTATTTAGCTTTTATTCAGCTGATTTTGTATGATACATTATTCATACCTGTGTTGAATCAAATACGATCTCCAGACCTGCCCCTGTTTTCAAACCACACTAAGATATTACAATTTATTATCCAAAACAAATAATATATAGTGATATCTTCTGGTTTGCCTTTGATGCAGCGTTTCATAAAAACTGAACCCTCTTTTTCTTTTATCTCCTCCTTGTATTCTCTTGAACAGATGCAAACACCAGTTTCCTCTAAGGGGAACTGGGAAGTGCTATAGTGTGTGTTTGCATGCATGTGTTCGGCATGCCAGTTGGATGTTGTAAAGTGTGCTTGTGTGTGTTGTGTTTCTTCCAGTATATGAGTGCACGTGTCAGTGTTTGTCTGTAATAATTTCACAGCCTGTGCATGTGTGTTTTTTGCGAATGTGTGTTTTTTTGCAAATGTGTGTATTACGAATGCACAATCATACAAAATAGAAAGGAGAGGGTGACGGTGGGTGGGGGGTATTCTTGCTCTATAAAAGGAACAGAGTCACCTGGAGACGCTGTAGCGCTGAGCCTGTGTGTGCGTGTGTTTGTGTGTGTGTCAGCCAGTTGCAGCACAATATGCCGGCATTCAACCTGCCCCAGGGACAGTGGTGCATCCCAACAGATGCACAGTAGCATTATTCATCTCTGTGTGCGTATGTATGTGACTGTGTGTGTGAGAGCGTAGATTTATTTGTGTTTATGTGTGCAGATCCACAGCTTGTGGTTTGTCCTTTAAATATACACACAGACATACAACATGCACACACTAATAGTTCAACACACAGACCTATAGATTCCCCTGGAAATTCTCTGTCCTCCCTACTACTGTACCTTCCCACCTCCACCTGCGTTCAGCCTACTAGTACTTCACCTGCGGTGATATATGTGTATCTTCACAAGGATACTTATTTCCACAATGACCTAAATAAGATTCTTGTGGGGGACGAAGGGTAGGATTGTGCCAGATCAAGCTTGTCGAGTACAGAGGAGAGGATAGACTGAGATACACATTGCTTGTGGGATCCAGTGTTGTGATCTGTGCATTTGCCTGTGTTTGAGTTGCCTGTGTGCCATCTCTGCTCTTCTCTCAATAGCAAATTCTAAAGAATAATTATTTGGATTGTTAAAATTTTGTCTGTCTCTTACTAAAAACAGCCAACAAACCAAAGAAACACTCTGACCAATCAGTTTACTTCACTCCTCTTTCAGTCTTCCATCTTTCTCCTGTATTCAAACACACATACATGTACTGTATGTGTGTATGCAAGAAGGGTCTACATTCCAATCACGTTTCCTCCATGCTGCATCTCCTCCTCTGCCCCTGTTTTCCACAGAGAACCCTGATTTTGAGGAGCCATCTGAATTCAGTGTTTGTGGATGCACCATGTCACGTAGTGCTGCTCCCTGCCTCAGCAGGGGTCAGAAAGGAAAAAGGACAAAGGATACATGCTGAGCTTGCTGAATCCTCTCTATCTACCTGTCGGTTTATTAGGTGGTGCTTGCATTGATTTTGCTGCTGCTTGAGCACAGAGAAGGAGAGATGGAGGAGAAGCAAACATATATTACGCACACAGCAAGACACCCATGTTGGCTGCTTCTTGGTGTTTTCTTATATGTTTGTTTTTATGTTTTCTTTCTTTCTTTCTTTCTTTCTTTCCACTTAATTGACTATCTGCTTCTGACTCCTCTGTCTACTCTCCCTTTTCTCCTTCTCCCCAGTCTCTGTCTTTTTCAAGCTCAGATCTCTTTCTCTGGCCCTGTGCTGTGACTGAAGAGGAAAATGGCAAGGCAAATGGAGGGGAAAGACAACAAGGCATTAGTGGTCTAATGGGAGGAGAAAGAAAAAGAGTCAGATGAGGCTGGGGGAGAGATTGAGGGGTGAGGGGATGCAAGCGAAGGGAAACGGTGATGGAATGATATGTTTGAAGAGGAGGAGGATGAGAAGGGGGTACAGAGGACAGAGGAGAATGGATGATTTACTGAGTGGGCTCTACAGCCTGGGCTCCTGGGAAATATGAGCTGCAGCAATCACTGCTCGCACATACACGCTCTTACACACAGAGACACACGCATGCAAAATGGTAGATGTGTGTAAGTTTACCAGGCAGCGCAGTCCGTAATTAGCCAAATGCTTCACCTCCACAGACAAACATGAACTACTAGACATGTGATTGATCACCTTAGGCTCTACCCACTTCAGATTGTAACAAGGCAGTTGTCCTTATAACCAGCTTTATTGTTTTTGTAGATCTGTAAACCTTAACCTGACATCATTGTTTTAAGGTTTGTGTGCTGTGTGCCTCTTCATGTGTATTTCTGAAACATAAACGTACCCAGGAGGACCTTCTCAGTTCTCAAGCATAATAATGTGTACATGAAATACTGTCAGGAAGTATTCAGGAGGAGAGGAGTGTAAGGGAGGGACAGATGGGTGAAGATGGAGAGGAGAGTGAATCTGATTGTTCCGCTGGATGGTTCATAATGCACTGAGCTGTGACTGGTTACAGCTCCCCCTTCATTCTTTTTTATCCTTTCTCCCTCTCTTTCATCACATCATCTTCTGAGGCAGCTTGAGATGGGATTTATCTTTTTTTCTCTACACACAAGCACATGCATGTAGACACACACAAGGAGAGAAACAGGCAGCTCTCTCGTTCCATTAACTCCAACTCTTTTGCTTCAAATCTGCTCTCTGTCTCTCTGACACAAACAAACACTCACATGCAACGCGCCAACACTCAAACACAGACCCATGCACATACATAGACACACATACATGCAGGCATACAGAGTAGTGGGACGGAACGTCTCCCTGCGTGTTTACCTCCCCAGTCATCCTGGTTAATTATACATGCAGAGGCAGTTTGCTGGGGAGGTGGAGCAGCCTGGGAGGAAACACACACTCACCCCGTCACACATATTCACAAACAGTCGCACTTCACCACCACCACCACCGGAATCATCATAACTCACCCCGGCATAACACACAACAAAACTGAACTCCCATGCTTCTTGACACCCCACCAATGCACTTGAAAATACCCCACCAACCCCTCACCTCGCCTCACCGCACACACTCATCTCTAACACATCTACCTTTAACACTCTGCTTAACACAGCATGCTTCAAAATAACACAGCAATCCGACCTGCCGCTGCTCCCAATCAGCACGCTGCTATCCCCTTCCTAATTACACACACTTCAACATGGCACAGAGAGTATTCAGATGCTTCCAACTGTCACGCTCCCTGTTCAAATTGTCTGCCTGTATCCTCTCCTCTCAGCGGACACTGTGCCCTTTTACTTGATAACCACAGGTTCAACACACTGGAGAGACAGACAGAAGGATGAGCAGATACATCTTGTCTCTGTCTTTCCTCCTCTTTTCCTCTGCAGTGTCTGGCCAGGCTGTGTGGGTGGGTTCCTACTCAAGGGAGAGGCTTACGAGATGGAGGAAGCCAATATCTGCTCTGACATTTGTCAGTGTCCAGTTGTCATGACACACAGCTGGAGATCACGGGGGTCACCGGCAGCCAGTCACATAGAGGGGGGTGGAGACCTGCCATTGACACTCACAGACAGACAAAGAGACAGATGGACAGATGGCACTTTGAAGCTCCTATAGACAAGCAACGAATAAATGTGATCAGAGGGCTGACAGTGATTACATAGTGTATATGTATGCTATGCATCTAATGAATACTCCATGCATTAGGTTGCTCATGCCCAACATACCGAAAACTTTGGAATGATGTCATTAATTTGTACAATAGTGGCCTCATCTTGACTCTTTTGTCTTTCTGTTTATCCATCCTCTCCATCTGTTTGACTGTTTTCCTCCCTCAGTCCAATTAAATGTGATACACTGGCACCACCTTTTAAAAAACAAACAATGCTGCCAAATACATTTGAATGGAAATTAGCTAGTGTTTGTGTTTTCCTACCAAGTTCTCCATTTCCCTTCATTAAGTCAAGCACTTGTTTGAGGCTATCTGAAAACACAGAGGGTGAAACAACTTAGTAGCATCTAAAAATGAGGAAACTGAGCCTTGCCCAGGTTCAGCTGGGAGACCACTGTGGTTCTGTGAGTGCGGCCAGTTAATGTGGAGTCTCTCTGTCTCTCTCTCTCTGTGTTTGAGGTGCAACTGTCTCGTCTCCGGGGTTTAGGATGACTCATCTGCATCCACAGACATGGCTGTCTATTCCATCTCTGATGAAGATGACACGCTAGACACAAATATCTGCATGCGCGCACACAAAATTATGAACACCAATTACACACTCTACACAGACATTACATAAATGCAGAAAACTAGAAGAACAGAAG